GCCCTTTCCTTTCTACCCCAGCCCACTGCCCACATACTGAACCTGGGATTCTTTTCATACCTGATATCAGCCCCAAGTCACTGTGCTCACAGGCTCCACACTCGAGATAAAATCCACATGCCACCTGAGGTGAGGAGGCCCCAAGCAATCTGGCCCCACCTTCCTACTATTTCCCTAGGGCTGGGGATGGAGCTCAGTGGTTCCACCGCCTACCTCACAAGCGCAAGGACCCAAGTTCGATCCTCGGTACCAAACAAAAAAAAACCCAAATGTACTACTGTTTCCCTATCTTGCTACAGTGACACTGGCCATGCTGCTAATTGCCTTGACACTTATATCGCCTCATCTTTCTCTCTGGCTCCAGCAGCTCTACTTCAGAGAGGCCTTTCCTAACCACCCAAATTACGATGGCATCCATCCTCACAGGGCTCCCTTTTACCCCCTTCCCCTCTGGCTTGCCTGCAGAGCACTTCCTAACACGTGGGTTGTGTCATTATTTCTACACCTAGCTCAGTTCTTGTACTGTTTGCACCTCGTTTTCCTCACACTAAATGGTAAGACTAAATGGTAAGTCCATGAAGACTGAAGACACTACAGTGGATCCCTGACTTAGGAACTCAATTCGTTCCCAAGGGCTGGTTGTAACTCAGGTTGGTCAACTGAGACTCAGGCTCCTCTACACAGCCTTCAAAGTCTCTCTTCTGTACCCAGGCAGATCTCTTTCCTTAGAGAGACACTGGCCCAGGATTTCTCAGTTAACCCCACACAGGAAAGGAAGTTGGAATGTTCCTTCCAGAACTCTTTAGGGTTAAATCTGTACCTGAGACCATCTGGGAGCATAAGAAGTTGTCATTGGGTTGTATATCAAGATTTTGTTAGTTAAAACTAAAATTCCAGTTGTAACCCAAGTTGTTCGTATGTCAGGCCGGTTGTAACTCGAGGGTCCACTGTACTCATCTCTGAATGCCAAGCACACAGAATAGTGGCAGGCTTGTAATGGTGCTCCACAAATATTTGATAGACAACAGAAGAAAAAGGGATGGCGTAAGCTCATGTGAGGACTCCAAGATTCTCCCAACCCAGCAACACCCTGGTTACCTCCTTGCCATTCGTAAGGAGTGTGGGGAGTCAGGAAGCTCAGTAGGTGCTGTTCTTTCTCTTCTGGGGATGTTTGTCCTTAGCCACCTTCCTTGTCTGAAAGCTCCGAGGGTGACTCTGCCTTGTTCGTCACTATGTCCAGATGACTGGGACACAGTGAGGGCCTAGTGAGTGTTCGCTGAACACAAAATTAAATTTTTATGAAAAGCAACAAAAATTCACACTATAAATTGGAAAAAAGATGTATTTGGGGATCGACTACTTATCGGACCCTTACATATCTTTCCCTGATACCTGCATCAAAAGCAGCACCACATTAATGAGACATTCTTTTGTTTTGGGATTAGCAAGAAGGGTGAAATAGGAGATTGGGAGGACTTTTGCTCCTGGAAATGATTTAATTACAGTATTATACAAAATTTTCAGAACCACCAGTCTGGGTGCCACTGTGGAAATCACCCAAATAAGACAGTGAATCCAGTTTTGCTCCAAAGATCCTCATTGTGCAGGATCTTTTCTAGGTGTTGTTTTACCAGGAAATTCTGTGCAGTCTGCCCTGGATCTTTCTTCCTTGTCCTCTGTTTTTCTACCAGGGAAGCTAAAGCAGAACTGCAGGCATAGCAGTAAGAATTAGGAAAAGCTCTCATGCTTCAAATATTCTTTAATTTCTTAACTGCCCTCTCTGTACAGTGTAAATAAAAACAATAATATCTGTATTCTCAGGATTTGGATAAATCAATTTGAACAACTGAGCATTTAATTTTTTAAAAGTTCACAGACATGATTATATCACAAAGTCAAAAAACACACTTCTATGACTGATAGTTTTATAATGCGTATATTCAAACCTGATGCAATTAAGCCACCAAAGTAGAAATGAAATTCCAGTAGGGTCAATGTAATCAGGCATATTTATGAGGAAGCTGAGATTACACGTTTTCAGGGGGCAAAATTAGAAAAGCTTGGCTGGGTGCGCTGGAAAAAAATTCACTGTGTGTTACTCATATTGTCCTCTAGTCCTGGACTGGCCAGGTTCTGAAGACTGGAGCTATGGAGTCTTAGCCCTCAATGCCTCACCGTGGGATGTCACACTTGGAAAACCGAAACCCAGGTTTCCAGGAGCAGAAAGATTGAGCTACATTTTGGTGTTGGGAGGAATTAAAACCATCTGAAGTTTATGGAATGTCTGAGGAGCTAGATGTTGGTCATTTGGAGGCAAGTTACACACGTACATGAAAATCGAGCCCCATGCTCAGTTTGCCTAGTGAAACTTCAGGACCAAGCTTGATGGTCAGCAGAACAATGGGATGCTGGGCTTGGGACCCCGCTCACATGTCTTGGCTTTCCTGTGCTTTCCACTTGTGATTGTGCCCATTTCTCAGAAACTGAGAAAGTAAAGGAACCCTGAAGTCATCTGTGTGACTTTTTAAAAACATGTAAATTCCTGTCATAAGGTCAATTGTTACTATGGCAAATTATCACAAACTTAGAAGCTTTAAATAATGCAAATCTATTATCTTACACTTGTGGACATCTGAAATCCAGAATGGGCTCCGTGAAGCTAACAGTGGGGAGCTAGGAGAGCTGCCTTAGAGGGCTTGGGAGGGAAGGCCATTTTCTTATCCTTTCCAGCCGATTGAGGTGGCCTGCACTCCCTGGCTCCTGGCCACTTCCCCCTCACCCCTGCTTCTAATGTCTCACCTCCCCTCTCACTGGCTCTGTTTCCCTCTTTTGCGTGATGAGATTAGACAGACCTATCTGGGTAATCACATTTGTGAGGCCCTTTTTGTCATGTACGGTAACAAATACAGAGGTTCCAGAGACTGGACTGTGGACATCTTAGGGGGCCATTATTGCATCTGCCCCAGAAAGCAGGGGGAACTACTTGCCTTGTCCTTTCTTGCCTTTCAAACAACTGTCATGAGCTACCAGGTGGTGCCAAGCCTGAGCTGGGATTCTCCTTGGGATGAGGCTCTCACTGCAGGTTCAGTTCAGCAGTACCACCAACGGCAATGTGCACACATCCCCGAACTCCCTTCTTTGCAGGGCATTGGCCCAGGACCACATCGGTAAGGATACAGTTATCCGCAGTGTTTCCCATTCAAGATCCTTGTCTCCCCATCCGCTGTTCTCACTTCTGGGCACAGGTTTGGAAGTACAGTGTATGTTCTCTTACAGGTGGGGAGGTTATGTGATTAGTTCTGGCCAGCAAATAACTCTAGGCTGAACATTTCATTGATGAGATGTGATCTTCTATCATCTGCTCTTCTCCCTGTGGTTCAAGGTGGATGGATTTAGGGTTGACCACATGGAATAAGGTAGACATAAAGTTGTTATAGCCACTGCTATTTGGGGTTTTCTTGTCACTGTATTATATATGAAAAGTCTTTCTGAATGGTGCACCTTGCAGATGCTAAAGGAAAAGAAATGAGAAGGGTAAACTAGCGAGGATAGCCTCTAGCTGGCTTTCTCCACTCACCTGTCTCTGTCATAGGCCACATAGACTTTCCTCTTCCTTTGATGGAAAAGCCCATTAACTTCACCTTCTGGTTGTCAGGTTTGCTTTTCAAGGTGGTAGAACATGTAATTTCTGGAATGTATGTGATTACACACACACAGCCTTAGTGCTGATCACATGGAATTGACTGTCTCTTGTGCATTCAGAGAAATGAATATAAACCTTGTATTAGTCAGCTCTCCCATCACTGAGACACAGCACCTGACACCCACACCTTTAATGGAGCTCCTAGTTTCAGGGAGTTCAGTCCATGACTGAACATCATAGCAGAAGGGGATGGTGACAAACATGCTCAGTTCTTGGCACCCTGGAGGCAAAGCAGGGGAACAGTGCGAGAGACAAAAGGACCAGGGACCAGATTATCCAAGGTCATGCCTGTATCACCCATCCAGACACACCCAGAAGTGTGCTTTACTACTCTGCTGGGCGTTTCTTAATCCAGTCAAGTCAGTGTATCATGATTAACAATCACAGATCTGCAGCTATGATGACTGCAGAGGTCAAGAAAGAATAGAATGTGGTGCTGGGAACATTTAACACCTTCGCTTCTTGTTCTCTTCATTTCTTGAAGTAAATCCTCACAACTGAAGTTTGCTTATTTCAGAGCAAGCACAGGATGGGGGAGACCTTGGGGATTTCCTGCAAATCATGGTAGAAGAGAAGCATGCAGACTCTTGGAGGAAAGAAGGGCCTGAAAGGAGGCCATGCCAGGAGACCCAGAGCCCAGCTGTGTGAAGAGTGTAGGTGCTCACGTCCCAAGGCACTGCGTTGGCTGTCGCTCACTTTGCTCCTTATACGCCAGCCCTGCTGGGACTATCACCCATGGCCTTGGGTCGGAATTATGGCAGAGCCACCGGCACCTGGAGATGTAACTCCAGCCTAAAGCCTGAGGTACAACCGGAGGCCAGGATGCCTGCAGATCAAAACTGAACTTGAAGTGCAAATTTCACAGCAACATGATTGAATACTGGGGCTAAAGTTGCTGGAGTTTCTATAGAACCACAGTTGGAGCATCTGCTTCTGTAACTGGGGTTTTGGTGACATGTGCTCCTGGGGCCAGCCTGAGAACCCAGCCCCCAGCTAAGACCACGGTTTCTATGGAAACCTGCAATCTGTGACTCAGGTATCCAGGTCAAAGCTTGCTATTTTATCTGCTTCAATGTGTGGATTATTTGAGGATTGCTAATATTAGCTAAAAATTGGGATTTTCTTCAACATGTGTGGGTTTTCTTCAACCAGATCACCCACTGTGTCAGGAATGATCGTGCAGGACCTTCTGTTCTAAGGAGGTTGTGTTATGCAGGGTGAACCAGGAGCAGGATGGAAATCCTCCACTCTAGCAAATCATTCATGTCCTTTTCTTTTCACTTCTAAACCCCCAAAGGGCGAGCCCTGCTGAGACTCACGGACAAAAAGCTGGAGCGCATGGGGATCGCCCAGGAGAACCTCCGGCAGCACATCTTGCAACAGGTGCTCCAGCTGAAGGTGCGCGAGGAAGTCAGAAACCTGCAGCTGCTCACACAAGGTATCCTGTGGCTTCCTGGCGGGAGGATGGAAGGAGAGAAGAGAAACGAAAGCCCTGTCATTATGACACAGGGAACTCAGGAGGAGCATGTTTCTTTCCAAAATTTCCTCCATTAAAAATATGTATTATATATATATACATACATCTATATAAACAGATATATATTTAAAGACCACCTCTCTCCAAAAACTTTTCTTTTCCATAGCTCACGCGATAGATGCATAGGTAAGTAACAAATAAGCAACCAGCAGCAGTTAAACTAACTTCAAGGTCGTCGTGTACAGCTGTGTAGATGGTGCACTGCACATCTTCAGAGGGTACCAGTCCCATACACTGTGGGGTCGAACACTGTACAGTCTGCATCGCAGGCTGGCTGCGATAACCCTGATTATCTTTGTCTCTCGACTGATTTTGGTAAGCCCTTGGACTTGGCATGATTTCATAGCTAATATATCCAGTGAAGGAGATGGATGTTTTGTTGTGTTTTGTTTTACTCTGCATTTTCACTGGTTAGTGGGAAATATATTTTAAATACATGCCTTCATTTGAATAAATTTACACACACCTACTTTAGAAATTGTAGGGACCCTATTTAGCCTCTTGAAAAAAAAAATAATTTAAAAAATTAGGCTATAGAGAATTTCAGAGTGGACTGTTAAGACCATGTAGCTCTTAACAGGGATCACTAATAACTTCAGTATGTTGAGGGCACTTATGGTCTTTATACTGTGGAAGTGACAGACAAAAAGCTAAAATTCGGAGAAACCTTAAGTCACGCCATAACTTACACATCTACACAAGATTTGGTTGCTATTAACCTCCCTTGGCTATAACTTTTATATTTTTCTTTCAATGCCCATTGTGTATCATTCTAAATGAAAGGATGATACAATATGTGTTTTTGAGAGCCTTGGGTATTTTTCAGTCTGCAGAATATTGTAATTGCGCACATACTGTTATTGGAGAAATCTGGGTCAGCCAAGTTTCACGTTATTGCATGTAGATTAACCCAGTAATAGTCCATGTGCCTAGAGGAAATGATGTACTGCTGTAAAGATGACTGCTCTAGAAGGATAAATATAGACTGCAACGATAGGAAAATGGTATTGCTTATTTGATATGTGTTATTTGAATTTTGTCCCCAGAGACTTCCATTGGCGAGTTCATAGGTGCTGGTACTCTGAATGATTTAAATGTGAATGTGCTGTCCTGATACACTTGGAGGTTTCTTTTAACAAGAAAATAGAGATAAGAAGATATGTGACAGCCAGTTCATCACAGTGCTATTTATAAAATCGAAAAAAATGGAAATAACCGAGAGGTTCAGCAATATAGAAAGACTCAAATAATTTTGCTTAAATTCCTAAGATACAACATATTGCAGGCATTCAAATTACATCCATGAAGAATGTACAACATGAGAAAGTTTTCAGGAAATGAGGGAAAAGCCATGTATGAATTTTTGTTTATACCATAATCCTTGTGTTTATATATTATTTTCTTATATGTGCATCAAAAAAGGACTGCAATTGAATATGCTGCTATTTTGATAATGTTTTTTTATGGGCTATAGATCTGTGTGTGGTCTTGTTTTCACTATATCTTTGTTTTCCCAATCCCCCACTGTAAACCCACATTATGGTTATAAGCAGACAATGCACACATCTTTATAAAGTTCCAGCACAGCCGCGTTCTGCTCAGGTTCTGTTCAGTGTCTGAGCCCCTCAGGGCCCGTGCTCTCCTCCAGGAATGACAAACAGAAGGAGCCCTGGCTCATGGAGCACGCCTTACACACCTTTCCTCCACGGCCGTCCACCTGTGTAGTGTTAGCTTTACAGATTCATTCTGTACAGCCTTCAGTGGCCTTGATGCACAAGCTATGAGATTTTTTCCTGAGATAGGTATATAGTACTCAGGCCTATTAAGCTAAATGTGTGTTTGTGTTCTGAGAAGGCAATGCTGAGTTCAGTCTTCCCAATTCATTCATCATTTTCTTCAGCTTTAGGGAGCTGTGCATTTTGCATTCTTTCATCCCACTCCATGTGGAAGGGATCATTGTTCTTAGCTCTTGGCCAGTTCATCTCCAGCCACATTATCTTTCTTACTGCCCATCTTTTACATGTTATGTTCAAACTCATTTTATGTTAGACATCCTTTAGAAAACTCATAGCCCTACTGAAGTGATAGTTTTGAAAAGTAAAAGGAATACAAAATTGACAGGTTGTTTTTATAAGTTCTAAAGACAGCTAGGGAAGCCTTAAAATATTTATTTGGGGTCTAGGTTTACTGTAATAAGAATTGGAGTTCCACTCAACTCAAGGGAGCTGAATGTATGTCATATATATTTGTATATATGTACGTATATGTGTATATATATGAAATGTAGCTTGTGCGCGCTTACCTGAATGTCACAGCCTGGACGGGCGGGGTGGGTGGAGAAGGGGTGGCCTTCGAGCTACAGCAACACAATATGGCAGCCACCATGGGCTTGGGATTAAAAGTCCCTCGCAATTTCTGATGGTTGGAAGACCCAGAAGAAGGCCAGAAAGCAGTAGAGGATGGCACAGTTAGCTGAGATCTAGAAGATGATGAAGACATGACACTTGTAAGATGGACAGGGATGGCAATTGGGCCTCCAAGAATAATTGGGGAACACCGAATATCCAGCCTCAAAATAGACTGTTGACCTAAATACCCAGAAGCACCCCCTCTTTGTAAGATTTGTAACAAAAATTAATAAGAATGGAGTTAATAGTTGTAATGGAGCGGTGGACCCAAGAGCCGTATCAGTGCTCACAAAATGGCAGAATTCACACAGCATCAAAGTTGTCCTGAAAGAGCTTCGACACTTAGTGATGTCTAAAGAAAATATGTATGAAACTTCCTCAGCCGCCTGAAGGGCAGTGTTACAATAATTGATCAAAAACCCACAGGCCCTGCCCCTCCGCCCGGCCCTCAATTCTACTTCATCAGTCTTCATTTTCCATGGTAGTAAATTTTCTAGTTACATCTTGCAGACCTCAAAGTACTGGAAAGGAAGCTCCCATTCAAAGGCAGCTTATCTTAAGATACTGTAAATGATGCTAATTTTTTGTCCATGTGAAATATATAAGTTGTGCTGTAACAAATCATAATGTCAAGTGTAACCACTGTCCACGTAGTTGAACTTCTGGGATCAAGAAAGTATATTTAAACTGATTCCCACCATGACTGGTGGGGCACATCCAGCTCGACTGTGAAAAGACACATCACACAGTCACCTTGCTGCTGATTACATGGCCTGGGGCTCCGCCTTCTCCTCTCCCTGCCGCCTCCGCCCCTGGAGCCCTGGCCAGGGCTGGCTGATTGAGGAGATGTGAAGGTTTCAGGTCACTGACTGTGGGACTACTGCTGGGTGTGGGGGTGCTTTGCCTGCACCCTGCTTTCTTTTTAAGTCTTAAATGATGCCCTCTTCCAAGCCACCAACCTGGCCTACTCTCCTCTGCTCCCTCCCTTGGCCAAAGCACAGATTGTAACCTTCCGTTCCCCTCTGAAATTGGCCTTCGGTGAGGAATTCAGAGCTTTCCCCCATCTCTCCCCCACCTTGATTGAGGGGTGCTGCTTTTCCCTCCTCCTCTCTTTGTCAATGTCACCACCCAACACTTTCCACCACCCTTCCTTCCCTTGGCCAGAACCCAACAGGTAAGGTTGGAAAGAGTCTCTGACCGTCCTTACGTAGTTTTGGAACCACATTCTTTGGTTGTCCACCAGCTGGGAAATGAGTATCTCAGGTCCTGGCCTTTGCCACCTGCTGTCACCATCAGCCGAAAGCAGAACCTGCCAGCACCCCATCCCTGCCAGTGCCCATGGAGCAAGGCCACACGAAGATACTGTAAGCACATGCAGTCCCTCTGGATGGTTCCCTTTCCTCGTACCCACTTCGCTTCGAGGTGCTGAAGAAGGTCTACCCGGGCTGTTGTGAGGTCCCCTTTGCCTCCATTTGGGTCTAGTTCAGAATCTGACAACTGAAACAAGGAACCTGGCCTGGTGCCGACTTTGGCTTCGGTGCTGCTGCTTCTCAAGATGCTCAGTGGGGACTAAGGAGCGGCTCAGTGTGCAGCAGACCCGGGCCTGGCCAATCTGGCTCCTGGCACCTGCTGTGCTTCCCACTTTCTGTTCAGGACCACTAAATGCTGTGATATGGATGAATACCAAAATAAAGCCAATTCATGGTGTCCAGGGAAAAAAAGAAAGAAATTTACCATGGGGGTCATCTGTTACTCAGTGTTGATTATTTGATTCTTTGTTTCTATAGATATTAATAAGTAGGTGTAATATGCTGAATAAGTACAGTACTTTTAGCGTACTGCTCAGTTTCTGGAAAACCCTGGGTCTGCCTCCTGAAAAGTCAACTCACCCTTGCAGTTCACAGAAATGGAATACACTTCCTTAGCTTATATGCGGCTGTCACTCTGGGGTAATGTAATTGTTCTGTTGATGTTGATTATCTAGTCCAGTGATGGCGAACCTTTTAGCGCTTTCAGGAATACAAACGGCTGCTGTGGCTTGAATGCCGTAGTTTCCCCACCTCTGATCTAGTCCATTCCTGCTGCTGTAGTCAAACACACAAATTAGGTAGATTATGAACCAGAGGAATTGCTTCCTCTCACTTCAGGAGTCAGTCAAGTCTGAGATGAAGGCACTGCAGACTCAGTGTGCAGTGAAAGCCCACTTTGTCACAGGGTTCTTCTCATGGCCCTTTTCTCCCTGTGTCCTCACCTAGTCCAAGCAGGGAGGGAGCTCTCAGGCCCTGAGGTAATAAGACCACTGGTGCCCTAACAAAGGTGCCACCTCCTCCCGACCTCACCTTGGGGATTAGGGTTTCAACCTGTGGGTTGGTTGTGGGGCACATCACATTCAGTCCACTGCATTGGAATTCAACAGTTTTTTAACACACTTAAAAGAGAGTTATCACATTCAAAGTAATCTATTTGGGGGGAAATAGATGTATTTTTAAAATGATTGAATGTGTTGTGAGTCTCCTTCCTGCCTTCAGAAGTAGTCTCTAAATATAGGTTGTTGGGAAGATTTAATGGCAGTCTAGTGGGGACAGCTAATGATGGCACATCTAGGGTTGGCAGTTCTCTGAAGCACACACCAGAATGAGAATTCTAGTATGGGAGGGTCTCAGGCTTAGCCTGAGAAATGGAGAAAGCGAAGTGCAGAACAATATGTATAGTATGCTACATTTTCCAAGGACAGAGAAATGGTGATGTGTATGTGTGTGTGCTTTGTTTATATGAGGAAATGCAGAAGGTTGCACAGAAGCTAATCCAAGCTGTACCTGTAGGGCAGGGAAGAAAGTGGATGGAGAGAGGATGGATACCCGGCGTGCCACTTTTTATTGTGAAATAGGAGTGTATTAAGTATTTAAAATAATAAAATTTTAAAAAATAAACAAGGAGAAGGATTGGATTTTAACATCAAATTGGCCGGAATTTTGAATTCTGGCCCTAACATTTACTGCTGTATTACTTCAGGGAGATTACTGAGTCTGTGTCCTAATTTTCTAATCTCTGAAATGGAGATCAACAGCCCTGTCCAACCAATAGAGATGATTAAGAATTAAAAGAGCTAAAATATATACATCAATCAGTGCAGAGTGACAGTGAGTACAAAATATACTTAGCTCTCAGGAGTCACATAATTAAATCAAACTCATTAAGTTATAACAAGCCTTATTTTTAGTATCTTTATTGAGATATATTCGTAAAACATACAACTTACCCATTTAAAGTATACAATTCAATGAATTTTACTATATTCACAGTTTTGTAACCATTACAATAATTAATTTTAAAACAGTGAAGGAACCTCATACCATTAACACTGTCCATTTCTTCCCAAGACCTGCAACCAACTGCTCCTTGAGAGAACTAACCCATTCTATCATTTCCTGTAAATGTAATCATACGGTATGTGATCTTCTACAATTGGCTTTTACCTGGGATAATGTTTTTAAGGTTTACCCATGAAGTATATGTCAATACCTAATGTCTGTTTATTGCTGAATATCCATTGTATGAGTACACTATATTTTACTTAACCATCAACCGATAAACTTCAGATTGTCTCTAGAATTTGGCTGTTATTAGTAATGCTGATTTCAACTTCCATGTGCAAGTGTTTGTGTGAACACATTTCACACAATACATCTCTCTGGTATATGCCTAGGAGGGGAGTTGCTGCTGCACAGGGTAGTTCCCTGGATAACAGAGCCGGCGTGACTTCGTCATTTCCTGCTCCCCCCAGGAGAGTTTGAGAGTTCCCATCTCTCTACATCCCCGCCATCACATGTTGTTGCCTGTCTTAAAACCATCTTAGTACATGTGAAATATTTCACTGTGGTTTTGATTGTTTTCCCTTCCAGGCCAATAGCACCCTTTCATGTGTGTATGGTTATCTGCTTATCTTCTTTAGGAAAAATGTCCAGTCAGATCTTTTGCCCATTTTCAATAGGACTATTGGTTACCTAAGCTTTGTTTTAGTTTAGTTACCGGTATGGAGTTGAACCCCATGGCCCCGTGCTTGTTAGGTAAGTCTTTTACCACCTAGCCACACCTCCCACTCCCAAGCTTTATCTTATCTGTCTATATTTTTGAGACGGGCTCTTGCTATGTTCCCAGGTCACATGGGAACTCATGATTCTCCCACCTTAGCTTCCTGAGTAACTAAGACTACAGGTGTGCACCACAATACCTGGGTTATGCTTTATTTACCATGCCTGATTACTCTCCTTATTTAAGAGTTAAATGTTTTGTTGCTGTTTCCAAAGAGGAAACTCATCCTCAAAGGATGAAATCTTGGCCCTACTAAAGATATTCAAAAGAACCTGCCACAAATTTGAACATCAATGACAAAGTGAAACAACTGAATATACTCTAAAGATTTTCTCTAGGAAGCAACATCCATCTGGATGTAGAAATTATAAACTCACATACGTTAAATCATTTGCATCAGTTTGTAATCAGACCTCCAAATTAGATACATGCATCTGAAAGTTCATTCTGTAATGTTTTAAGGGAAATAATACAATAGAGAGTTAAGTCTATTTTCCCATATTCTGTTGCTGTTTTATAACTTGTCTGAAGCTTTTTATTCTACCCCAGAGTGTTCAGAGTTGACCAGGAGCTTTATGACATGGCCAGGATGGCCATAAATGGGCTGAAAGAGTTCCACCAGGCCACTGTGGGTTACTTGACTAGGGAAAATGAATTCTTTGCTTTCCTTCTCTGTACTTTCCTCTTTGTGGATACTAATGAGGAAACAAAACTTGTAAGTCATTTTAACAAATTTGTTTGGCAAATGCATATCAGCTTAGAATCACGATCAGTGACTCATAACAAACACTCCTGAAATAGATCGTCAGTGTCCTTCAGCTGGAATCTTGCCCCTGACTCCCCTGATCAGATTCACAGTGGCCCTGAAACTGTCTGGCATTTGCAAGTAACACAGTCAATAGTTGGCCCTGCTTTCACTTCATCCTTTTGGTGCCTTTAAGGTGGTTCCCCTCCTCCGATGGCCTTTTGGTCTTTTGTGTCCTGTTCATGGAGTGGCCAGAATTTTGATCTATCAGACTTCCTTGATTGTGTGTTCCTGCTGGAAACTCAGCTGTGTCTCTTGGGAAATGCAGTATGAAATTGGAAATCATTATTACACTTTCCTTCTACTTGATTCATGAGAGATAGGGGGAAAGTGTTTTATATAACATACAGCAGTTATGCACATTGCTTTTGGGACGCTTCAAATTAACCCATGATCAAGTATATAAGGAATATTCTTAGCACTCTCATAATGGACATTATTTCTAGGAAGAAAAACTCCCAGGCATATTAGGCACACTGCTTTTCACATAGCTAATGAATACTGAGTGTCTGCTATTTACAAAGCGTGCACTAATGGTCACATCAACTTCTGACATTTTCTCTATGGTGCCCAGTCCTCTTTGTTGGCCTTAATGTACATACAGGGAAAAGTAAAGACAGAACATGTAAATAAAATACCCGAAACCAGAAAACTGAGCAAACAGATCTTTCTGCCTATAGCAAGCTTTCATCCATTTAACTTCACTGCCTGTGACCTCTCAAATGAGGTAATAATTCCCCTCTCTGAATGATGATTAAATGTTGTCTTATGTGGATATCATCTACCATAGGTCATGGCTTTTGAACTGTTCTAGATGCTGGGAAACTTTTTCTTTGTAAAGGGTAAAATAGTATTTTAATCTTTACTGACCATATGGAGTCTGTTGCACCTACCCCACCATATAAAAGCAACCGTAGGCAATACTTAAATAAATTAGACATGGCTGTGTTTCAGTAAAACTTTATTTACAAAAATAATTGCTGGTACACATAAAAGGAAGCACTAAACAGAATGAAAAGGTAACTGTTAAGATGTTAATATCCAGAATATATAAGGAACTTCTACAACTCTGTTACAACAAACAACCAATTTTTAAAATGGACTAATAAGGAACATGAATATATAATTCTTCAAAGAAGCTATATAAATGGCCAATGAGCATTAAAAAAGATGTTCATCAGTAATCATGAGAGAAGCGCAAATTAAATGAGATATCATTTCGCATCCATTAAAATGACCACTATTAAAAGAATAGAAAATACTAAGTCTCGACAAGAATTTAGAGAAACCATATCCCTTGTGCACTATTAGTGGGTCAGGAAAATTGTACAACCATTATGAAAAATATTGTGGAACTTCCCAGAAAATTAAAAATAGAATCACCATATGACCCACCAATCCCACTTTTGGGTATACCTCCAAAAATCGTAAGAGGATGTTGAAGGAATATTTGTAACCCCATATTCATTGTAGCATTATTCACAATAACCAAGAGATTGAAGCAACACAAATGCCCCTTGATGGAGAAATGGAAAAAGAAAATATTGTATATAGATACACTAGAATACTACTCTTAAAAAGGAGGAAATTTGGTCACATTCTACTGCATAGATTAACCTTAATGAAATGAGCCCATCACAGAAGGACAAGATTCCACTCATATGAAGTATCTCAAGTAGTCAAAATCATAGTATAAACAGAAAATAAAAGTAGTTTCCAAAGACTGTGGAAGAATTAGTGTTTCTAGGTATAAAGTTTCAGTTTTCAAGATGGAAGAGTTATGAGATGTTAAATAATAATTTCAATATACTGTATTCATACTAAATTATACACTTAAAAATAGGTAAAATGGAAATCTAAAGTTATGTTTTATACCACAATAACATTATTGCTAAGCTGTAGGTAGTGGGCCCATACTTTGCAAAGTCAAATCTGTAAGCTTTTGACATCCTCATCTAGATTACTATTTTTATTCTTGGAATTTTCCATTTTGAGACAAAAAGAGTCCCCCCAATACCAAGGGCTCTCTAGTATAGCCCCACTCCTAGAATGTCCATTTCTGTGACTTTCTTAGCTACAAATACATGGGTAGTGTAAAAATGTATCCACAGCTGTGAAGTTTGACTAAATAGGGCAGTAGGAACCCACAACCCCACTGGAAGATCAGGCAGATGATAGTAGTAAATGCTGCCATCTTCAAGTGCCTTTGTAGTCAGTGCCTGCAAAATGCAAAAAGAGCATGATATTTACCATGGCCAATTTTGGCTCATTAAACATTATTATTTCCCTAAGGACTTTTTCTACATTGTCCAAATGTATGTGTCAAAATTTAGTTGCCAATTGCATGGCCAGATGGACTCTGCCAAGCTCCATTTTCTGGAGTGACAAAAATTAGAAACTCTACATTCTAATCCAAGAAGAACTTTCCAGAACTACATGTACCGGCTGGGTATTTTAGTCCTGTCACCTCCACAGTGATGCTTCAGCAGCTGAAACAGGCTGGCTGAACTGAAGTGGGCCATCTGGTCCACCACCTTGCCTAAGAAGTCTTTGTAGAAGAGCTATAACCTCTTGAGAAATTGTACAATCTCATTTTACAGACTTGAGCACCGAGACTCAAAGAGAATTAGAGGATTCCCAGGGGTTCAACAGCTAGTTAGTGGCACAACTGAAACTAGATCCCATTTCTACTAATTATTACCCCTCATTTTGTCTCATTGTTTTTATTAAGGCATAATTCACACATAGTAAAGTTCACCAGTTTTAGTGTATAATTCTGCAAGTATTGACACTTGTGCACAGTTCTGTGGTGTTGTAGTCAGGGTTTTGCAAGGAAAATAGATTTAATTCAGGACATATAATTTATAAGATTATGTTATAATACCCAGAAAGTCAAATGTAGAGGAATGCAAGAGACCTAGCTGCACACTAGAGACCAAAAGAATCCAGCCAAGGGCCTGGATCCCACAGCAATGCCCCACAAAAGTCCAGCTGAAGGCCTAGAGCCCAAGGCCATGCACTCCATGAGTCCAGCCGGTGGCCTGGAGTCCACAGCAATAACTCACTGTTGTCTGTATAGAGGATCTGCACCCAGAAGGCTCAAGGGCCAGTGGTGGAAGCCAGAAAACCTGCCCCGTGGAACAAAGGATTTGTGCCACCAGACTGAGAGATCCATATTGGAGCTAGGAAGTGATGCCCACAGTGAAGATCAGAGCTCCCCTGATGAGAACAGCAGCCATTCCCAGTGACAGTGAGGACCTGAGCTCCTCCTCCAATGAGAACAGCCAAGTTCACATCAGGAAAACCATCCACAGCAAGCTTCTCCTAGAAAATCAACAGCCCAGATCTTCCCCTCCAGTCCTCTTTTTATGCCGTTGGCAACAATCCTCAGGTGGGTCTTCCACACCCAACTATGCTGATTCATTTCAGCTGGACATTCACAGTTGGCCATTAGTTAACCCACCACATGTGGCTACCACTACAATCAAAATATAAACCAAAATTTCCATCACTCCAAGAAATACTCCTCAGTGCCCATTTGTGTCAGCCTCTCCTGTTACTACAAGCCTCTGACAAGCCCTGACATTTCCTATCCATACAGTTTTGGCTTTCCCAAAATGTGATGCAAGTGGAATCATAGTCTGATTTCCTTACCCAAATGCACTAAGACTTAGGTTGTGATGTGTGTCCTTCTCCCATTCGCTTTTATCACTGC